ACTTTCCCTAACTCATGGCACATTTATCAAAACTATAATGTAAGTGTTGGCATATTTCTGTTAACTAGTAGCAGTATTCAGATTTCATAAGTTTTTTCACTAATATATTTTTTCTGCCCCATGATGCAGTCCATCTCACCACACCAAATTTAACATGAATTTGTATTTATTAAAGCTTTTGTCTTCCTTCATTCTTTTCAAACAACTTTTGTGAGAGGATTCATTTCTTTTCATGGAGTGGTTTAATTTTTAATGTTAATTTTATAGTCTTCTCACTTCAAAAAGGAAATTGAAATCAATTTTAGTAAAATCACAGGCACAACCAGGAGAAACGATTGTTTATAAAAGATCCAAACCAGGAACTGTTGGATAAGTGTTTGCCTAGCATGAAAGTCTTGGTTTCCATCCCTAGCACCTCATAATCCACGTGTGCTCGTGCATCTGTAATCCCAGCACTAGGAAGGTAGAGACAGGAGGATCAGAAGTTTAAGGCCCTTTTTTGACTATATAGCTAGTTTAAGGGCAACCTAGGATACATAAGACTCAGAATAACAATAATAATAATGATAATAATAAAAAGATTTGAATGAGCAAAGAGGACATTGGTAGGAGACACTGTGGGCCATGGCATGCTTGGTACATGAGCATGACACTGAGGTCTATGTTCCTATTAGGAAGGGCCAGTGGCACAGAAAGATGGGATATAGACTGTCCCTCATCTGATAGTTCATAGGTAATATGCAAATTCATTCCTTTGCACATTCCTCAAAGAGTTTATTATAGAAGCTTCTGCAGAAGCAGCTGTGGACACCTAAATAAGTATTTACTAAAAGTAAATCCATTCAGTTTCAGTCCCTGCCATCTCCTTATGATGTGCCACCATATCTCTCCCCTTGTTACAAGTTGGATATGGCTGTGTTTGGGAAGGCCCGTCTAGCAGCCACAGGGAGCATCCTGCTCTGGGTATAATCCAGGTGCTTTGCTTAGGAACAGAACCTGAAGCTTCATGCCCTTCCCTCCAGGCTGCAGAGTATAGAAACAAGATTTCACTGAGGGTCTAGGGATATAGCCCCCCCAGTAGGCTGTGTGTTTGTCTAACATACACAAAGTCCAGGGTTCAATCTCTAGTACTTCATAAACAAGGTGTGATGGTGCATGCCAATAATCTCAATGCTAGGGAGGTAGAGGCAGGAGAATCAGGAATTTAAAGCCAGTCTTGGCTACACAGCAACTTGGAGGCTAGCCTGAAATACATGAAACCCTGTCTCAAAACAACAAAATAAAAACTCACTGACTATTGAGGCTGTGCCCACTCTGAGTGGCGTACAAACAGCCTACACACCTACTGTCTGTCTCGTAGGTGAGATGGTACGTCAGGCCCGAGTCCTGGCCCAGGCGACATCCGATCTTGTCAATGCCATGAGGTCAGATGCAGAGGCTGAGATTGACATGGAGAATTCCAAGAAGCTCTTGGCAGCTGCCAAGCTCCTGGCTGACTCCACTGCCCGCATGGTGGAAGCTGCAAAGGTAGGACATTGCGTTGTTGGTTTGAAGTGCTAACACTACTAAGGATTTGAAAAGTATCTCCAAGATGAAGCATGGTCATCTGAGTATGTGTGTCTGCTTGTTGAAAACTTGAATAGCTTTGTGGCATTTAACCTAGGGTTGGTGTGGCAGAGGACGTTGTTGAATGTGCAGAGGAAACTCTTGAGCAGACTCAGTGCAGACAGCAAAGCATCACCGCTATTGCCAATATCAGTGTAGAAGTTACTTTCCCCCTCACTGCAACAAAATACCTGACAGAAGCAACTTCAGGGAGGATTTATTTTGGCTCACAACTTGAGGGTATAGTTCATCATAGTAGAAAAGGGATGGCAACAGGAGCAGGAGGTAGCTGGTCACAGTGCATCCTCAGGCAGACAGCAGAAGGAGAAGCAGGACAAGTGCTGCTGCTTAGCTTCTTTTTATTCACTCGAGGATCCCAGACCATGGAATGGTGCCAGCCACCTTTAGGGCATGTCTTCCCACTCCGATTGACCTAATCTAGAAATGCCCTCACAGACATACATAGAGGTTTGTTTCCATGGTGATTCTAAGACCCAGCATGTAGACCATCAAAATCAAACATCACATCTTTCTATCTTGTCTCAAAGGACAGAAAATGTGTCCTCTGCCTATATTACATTCAGCCTTTCCTAGGTTCAGAATCCTATACATCTTAGTACAATTGACATTAATTCTGAAGATAGGTTCAGCTAAAGCACCATGGTAGAAGGCTGTGGACTTACCCAAGGGACACTGATGATAGCTGTATATTCTGCCAGTTAAGGACATTACCTATTGTTGTCGAGTGCGCTTGCTTGGTTCTCCAATAAGACTCCAGGGATGTGATTTAAAGGTGTGGCCTTTAACAATCTTTCCTTATGATCATTTTTGGATGACATACCTGTATGGCCTCTCTGTCTGCCCCACCCAATTCACACTCCATCCTAGTCCTTGCGTTTCTACTAGACTGTTCACCTTTCACATTAACTTCTGCCTCAAAAGGTTCCAGCAGTCAAGTGAGGACATGAGCCATCACTGCATGCCATGCCAATTAAGATAAAATCCTCCCTGAGGAAGATGTTCATTTCTGCATTTCTCTTCTATCTGATGGGGAGAGATTTATCTAAGCCTCTTTTTAAAAATCAGATTTTTAGTTGACATATAATAGCACATTCTCACAGAGCATAGGATAATACTTCAATGCGTAGTTGCAGTGTGTGGTAATTAAATCCAAGTCATTGTATCCATCACCTCAAACATTTATCATTTCTTTGTATTAGAAACATTTAAGGGGCTGGTGAGGTGGCTCAGCAGTTAAAAGCACTGTTTGCTCTTGCAGAGGATCTGAGTTCAGTTACCAGAACCCACATGGTAGCTAAAAACTGCCCGTAATTCCAGTTCCAGGGGATCTGATGCCCCTTCTGAAACCTCCAGGGCACTGCACGCATGTGGTGCATTTACGTGCATGCAATAAAAACACTTATGCACAAGTAATGTTTTTAAAAAGAAGAAACAGGCTGGGCGTGGTGGCAAGAGCCTTTAATCCCAGCACCTGGGAGGCAGAGGCAGGTGGATCTCTGTGAGTTCAAGGCCAGCCTGGTCCACATAGTGAGTTCAGCTGGGGCTACAGGGAGACCCTATCTCATAAAGACAAGAAGAAGAAGGAGGAGGGGGAGGG